AGTGCAGTCATGCAACTCCTGTATAATGTGTACAAGTTCTAACTTTGTCATGTTTAATTGATCATCTCCAATATTAAATGTTTGACCCGACATTACTATTGCATTATCCAAAGCAAATATAATTGCACGTGCAGCATCTCGAACATGCAGGAATGTCCTTCTGAAATGACCCTCAAACAATTGGATATGATTTTCCATTACAGCTGTAAATGTTAAATTGTTTACTAAAAGATCAAGTCTCATCCTAGAGGACAGTCCAAATAACGTTGCGAATCTTAGACATATGCCACCAACAGACCGAACTATTTCTTCTCCACGAACTTTACTTTTTCCATACAACGAAAGAGGTTGTAGTGTTGTATTCTCAGTACAGACACCTTCTACATACCCGTAGCAAGATCCTGTACTTGCAAATATCATAATTTGTGTTTTCGTCATGCTATCAACTACGTTTTGTGTTCCCAAAATGTTTGTTGACAAGGCAGCATCGGGATCTGAATCACAAGCAGGAAAGCCAACTACTGCAGCGAGATGGATAATGGCGTCTTTACCTAAAACAACTTCAGCAATATGATCTCGATTTGTCACGTCACCCTGTATAATTCTTAGATTAGACATGTGAACAACATGCAGTAATGAGTGTATTCCCCAGTTCAGTTTGTCATATACTGTAACCTCGTGTCCTTCGTGTAAAAGCATTGGCACTAAAACTGAACCAATGTATCCAGCACCTCCTGTGACAAGTACCTTCATTACCAATTTTGATGTGTTAATGTTTAAATTTCTTTGTCTACTTAGATAAATTACCAAAAGATGTATATTTGAATATTTCAAACCTCCACTAAGAGATGGAATATATCGAACTCATGTAGTGTTAGCTAGGTATGCTACTGATTCCTTATTTTCAAGTAAAGCGACAAGCTATAACATACATCCTTATATAACTATGAACAATGGCCATGTAATCAATAGCGATGTTTTGTTATGGCATATCAAAACGCAATAATTTAGTGTAAAATCATTCAAAATGCACTACATTCAATTCAGGTTCATGTCTATATTTGTGGTTTAATTACAATGAGAGTTTTTTTTATCAAATTTAAATAATGAATGAATTCACTTATTTACCTAAACTGTTTAAATATATGCAAAGCGTTTTTGGAAGGTAATCCAATTATTAAATAATATGAATGTTGGAAAACGATGCAATATTTTTGAAAACACGTTTATGACATTATTCATAAGATCATTTTCGTTTCAATAACTTACAATTTTACTTTAAAATTCTTTACATTGTATCATATGTCTAATTTTAGTCAGGTATACAATGATTAAAGTACAGAAAATATAATATGTATCTGTTTTCAATAAAAAAATGTGCGGTTTGTGACAAGCATGATCAACACCTGAGCATTTCCGCACATTATAAAATATCAATGATGTTTTCGAATAATCAATTTTTTACTTTAAGGGGTTTTGTAAGTGAAAAGTATAAATAACCTATTTAGGTCTTGCGCGGCTTTTTTGTTCTGGAACTCATGCTGGTCGTAAACGCACATTTATTTTTGTCGTACGAAATGATCATCTAATAATGTTATTTCAAATTTTGTTTTTTAAAATATATGTGCTTTAAAAGGGACAATCTTGTTATTTTTAATAACACGATGAATTTTCAGTGAAAACACATTATCAAATTTAATGAAAACGATTTTGAAAAAGTCAAAAATTTAAATTTTTTTTAAATTTGAGCTATGTTTTTGTAAAAGGTATAACAATTTAGGTCAAGCCCAAATGGAAGGTCTTGGTGAAAGGGTTATTAAAAGTTACTGAAAGTGAACTGATACACAACGGAACCCGTGAGTGCTTGACCAACAATTATATAAACATTTTTTTCAGTATCAGAACTTTGATAATTAGCCGTGAATAAATGCCTCACAATTTTTTAACCGTCAGTAAAAGACAAATTTAAACATTTTAGTTCTATGACTTTAAAGTTGTAACAGAACCTCAAGTATGCTTAATATGTAATGCTCTATCACTATAGTAATTTGTTCAGTACAGAAAAGACGGGACTTTATCATAACGTTTCATGAAATAGCGATGGTTTGAACAGGATGATCATTGATAAACTGCTTAGACAGTTTCTTTGTTGGATAATCTGATGCGTGTCCATTGGTTTCTTTGGTAAGGTTTTAACACAGTTTAGGTCATATAGCGCCGAAATAGGAAAGAAGCTTTTGGCTAACCTTGGGTGTTACAAACATAAAGAAACACCAGGGATCAAATCCATCTCAAAGTTTGAGAAGCTAAGACATGCATAGACTCTAGTTTTTCAAACCCATTTATTCTCCTCTTACAAACACGCAATGTTAAACTGTGGCTAAAACTCTAATGCATTAGGCAAAGTAAGTTGCTAAACAAATCAATCAAGGAACAAAGACATTATGATAAACCAACCAACCAAACAAAAACAAAACAGAGGAACATATCAACAAATAACAAAAACAATTTATAACATCATTAAATATTAAGTGTATATTGAAGACTTTAAAGTTGAGTTTTTATTGATAAAACAATACATTTTGAATTGAAACTTGAGTTGATTTCTATATTCAAACTTACCTTATCATATATTTGAATTGTGCATATAATATCACAACTGATTGTTCAACTCTAAAAGGTTTCAATGAGATATCATTGATTGTTTAGAGATTTTACTCCGGACAAGTGTTTTTCCCTTATAGACATGTATATAGAAACAAAAATTGCCATTACTTAGCAAAACGTTTGAAATTCAAAATTTGACTTTGAGATGAAAAAGTAATCTCAATTTAATTATATTTCAATATTACATAAAACGTGATACTAGAGCACAAAGAAATGCATGAAACTTTCTAAAACTGTAATAACAACTGTCTAGTTTACTATCATGGGCTTAGTCGAGTTACAATTTTATTGAATTATTTATGGCCTTTCTGTTTGTGACTTTTAAACAAAACAACATGACAGAATAATAAAAATTATGTATAAACACAATAAACCTTATAAACACAATAGTTGGCTATAATTCATTTTTAATAACTAGGCGGGCAATCTTTTATTCGCGAATCACAAAATTATGCTTATAAATGATCAATGAGTATTGTACAATACTACTTGCCCTTTAATTATGCGTGTGTTGTACAAATGTCAATGTTTTGTATAACATCGGTAATTTTCGAAATCTTTACGAAAATAAATATAGAAATAATGTGCAACTCGAGGGTCATCTGTTAAGTTCGTGGACGATGTTATTAAAGTATACGTCAAAGACATTTTATGCTACAAATGTGCGTACTTGTTTATAGATGATATTTGTTGGTTTTGAGCAAATATCCTATATAACTTACTTAATGTTGCCAAAGAGCTCTAACGACACTAAAAATGTTGTTTTATCTTACGTCGTTGTGTTATGTCAAAGAAAATCTTCTCTAAGAATAACTAATGATTTGATTAAGGCATGAGAAATGGACGTCAGTATTTAACAGTAACGCATACGCTTCGCAAACATAGTATTACAGCTTATAGAATTATCATTTCCGTGTAACTTTTGAATATATGTATTTGAATCGAGTAATATGCAATAAAGGCAAAATGCAACAAAAATGATTTAGTTGACTTTGCTAATCTTAACATAAATTAATACGTAGGCAAGACGATGTTCGGCAAAACTGTATATGCCTCAATGTGAGGGTTTAAATTTGAGTTATACTGATATATCAATTGTTTTTTTTTTCGCTTAACAACCACAGTATGTTAGAATTTATTTTGAACAGGAACATATGGAACAAAATTATGCAGATGCTAAAAGAGAACGTATATAGCGAACCAAACGAGCGAGCTAAGATACCACCCAGGCATGTTGTGTTTTAAATTTTTATACAAATAAAGAGATATTTTCTTTCATGTTGTTTTGGTCTATACATGCTATTGGACACAATTGAAAATCGTGTTCTGTCTACTGACCATACCATCGATATGTGATTGACATGATCAAATGTACCAATTAGTCTAATACAAAACTTCAGTATAAAACTGCCAACTGAGAAGACTTTTTTGCCGCATCTATATAGTTTTGAGCATTGAAAAACAACAAAACACATTATTTGGCTGATGAAAATAACAATATGGTAACAATTTCTAACAGAATAAAATTGAAGCTGTTTCATTTGTAGACACATTTATAAAGGTTATCATAACGTTTCACTAGTTTTACGGTACAAAATATGCAAACATTACCATAAAAGACAGATTTAACATTCTTTCAGGCTTATGTTTTCCATTCGTAATGAATATTTATTGTAAAAACGAATTTGGTTTTGATAAGAATGGGATTATGAAGTGCCTGTGTCAGTTAATATCTAAAAGAAGAGTTAAGAAGTATATCCTGAGTATAAGTTTATAAATGAACGGAACAAGAGTTCTACAATACAGAAAGGGAACAATAAGAAAAATATTAAGATCGGTTTTCGTCGCATATTTCCCGCAAATAAAGCAGATGCAACAAAGCCTAAAGTTCGAATCTGGCAAGAAATTAATGTGTGCTACCCAAACATTGAACAGAGACTAACAACCATATGATTTATTCTGTAATTGACAATATATAGGTAGACCGACAATGCTTTTGCGTTGAATACCAAGAAGAGTATACGACAAAGGCGCTAAATGCAGGGTTAACGTCGTTTACGTTTGCCTGCTCCGCGATTCACATAGTATTATGTCATCATTTTGTTGTTTGTTTATATTTTTCTATGTAAATTTTGAAAATGTTTTAATTATATGAATCTTTTAAATATCAAAATATCAAATTCGTATCTATTTCATTTCATAAACATTGTTGTTACAGATAAACTGGACAACCAATGTATGTCCTTTTCATTTACGTGTTCGTCAGGTTTATTTTTATGTACATTGTATATTGATTCTTTACATTTCTCCAGCACTCTTTAGGAGTAGTTCTACTTGATTATGTCAGTTTTTGATTTTCTATTTGAATATTGTACATGAATCAAAAGTTTCATATCCGTGTTTATTTATTATAGCTTTGCAGACAAAAGCCAAAGAGATACATAGGGTGAATTTTCCTAGCGATGACTATTTGATAGTGATTTGATTAAACGTATCTTTGTTGACATGCCGGTAAGTCTTGTTTTCTTTTTTAAAGGAATATGAACAACACATTAAATGCTGTTTATTCATTTTTATATACAAAACAAACAGAATATTCAAGGAAGTTAGCAAATCAAAATACATATGGAATTGAAATAATGAAGGCAATTATTGGTCAAGCTGCAAGTAATTGTAACAATGCTGCAATATATTTAGGAGGAGATATAAATACACCAACATAAATGACTTTTCGTTTTATTGTTACAAATATTGAGCAGTGGCAATGAGGACCCTATCCTTAAACAAACAGTTCAGTAAAGTATTTCTTTATATTTCTTACCTGGCCTATATAATTAAAAGTACCTTGTGTTGAAATTATACAATTATATAAAAAAAAACAACCAAAAACAAAACATGCAATGTCAACTTGAATATTTGTCCTTACATAGTTAAGAACGTTGAATAAAGTGTTTAAAGTAGTACATGATTTTCAGTTTGTACCGTATACTTTTATTTGGGACGGTTTGTCAGAACCTGATGCGAATACCTGGTTATGTGGCAATGTGTTTCTGGTTAAACAAAAAGCAATGTATTAAAGAAGATTTTATTATTCCGTTCACCTCATTAGAGATCAAATATCTTTAAAGACATGTATGAATGTAATGGAAATTGTAGGAAAGCCATTATCAAAACTGAGCAAACACGAATAAAATTGGTTTTAAAGATTATACTATAATTATACTATATAACAAAAATTAAACTGTAAACTACAACACCGCAAACATTGTCGAACCGAACGAATCAACATTTATAATGTTATAAGAAAAACTACATGTATTATCAGAACACATATAATCAATATTTGGTGATTTGATACATACTTACATTTCTAAAGACAGGACAATACTATAGATAAAAGATCTTCAACTATCTATTTAACGATTTTTTTCATTATAAACGTATAAATGGAATATTTGATAGTAAGAAAATGAGGTGGCATTATCGAAATTGTGTTTCTTTTTTCATGTGTATAAGTTTTGGTATTTTTCTTTTAACAAGATTTGTTTTAGAAAAGAATCTACGGAATAAACCAGTGGACTTAAATCTTAGTCAATCTGAATTGATAAAAAAGGACAAGATTGTGCAACAATTAGATCGTCTATATTTTGAGAAAGATGTGTTTAAATTGTCAAGTAGAGATCAACACGAAACACAGACTAAAAAGGTTATCATGTTTTATAATCTGCCAGAGTATATGCATAATTATCTAAAGACGGATCTTTATTATAAAAATTGCGATTTTAAAAATTGTATGTTTACAAAGAATGTCAAATACGCCCATTCTGCAGATGCGCTTATATTTCATATTGGTATACGAAATAAAAGATTGGGAGAAAAACCACCATTTACAGATCAACAAAGAAATCCTTATCAAATTTGGATTTTCACATCAAATGAACCACCAGAACATTATTACAATAGGGACTACATGTTATCGTCATGGAGAAATACATTTAATTGGTCTATGTTATATAGACTAGATTCTGACATACCAAATCCCTACGGTTGTTTATTGCTCCAAACATCTGAAAATCATCGAAATTATGACGTAATCTACGAATCCAAAGACAAAAATGCTCTTTGGATTGTCAGTCATTGTCATGTTTCTAGTGAAAGAAGATTATACGTAAACAAAATGATAAGACATGGTTTTGATATCGATATATATGGTGGTTGTAGTTCTGATGGCCTAATGATAAGCCGAAAGGATCTTGAATTAATGATTCCAAGATATAAATACTTTCTAGCATTTGAAAACTCTTTTTGTATTGATTATATTTCAGAAAAATTCTTTCAAAATTATAATCACAGTTGGATAATTATTGTACGAGGAGGTGCGGACTACAGCAATTTGATACCAAAAGAAACGTTCATTAATACAGCTGACTTTAAAAACGTGTCAAGTCTTGTACAATTCCTTTTCAAAGTGTCCAATGATAGAAAGATATATGAGAATTATCTTAGACAAAAAGATCGTTTTATTAGTTTGAGATGGCCAGTTAACAGGAATTGTGAATTATGCCGTAGATTAAATAACATAAATAGTTTTAAAAAGATATACGAAAATGTTGGACAATTTCTCAATCAAGGACAATGCAGACGGGCAAAAGATTTGTAATGCATTTCATTATGCACCGTACATAAACTCTCTTATATAATGCATTGTATCACAAAATATAACCACTTGAAGATCAATTGGGACATAACAAATATTTTAAGAGAAGTCTATTCCCGATGACATTCAGGTTTGAAGAATAAGACTCTATTCCGAAGTTGGTTGTAAAGAAAATAAAGACGTTGGTGAAAAGTGTCGAGATGACTCCTTAAGTAGATTTCTATTTAAAACATAATTATTTAATACTTATTATTCAAATATATGTCATGTTGGAACTGAATGCAGAAGTCATCACTTAAAGCAAAGTCAGATAAAGTGTACACTCGGTTTTATGGAACACTTTTGCTAGGTCCCGATTATGTACCTTATATAAAATTATTTGTTGTAATAATACTTGTTTATACAATAAACTTGTTTATAAGAAACTACATATAAAGACTTCAATCGATTCAAGCTGAAAAAAGTAAACTGCGAAAATCAACCTTATTTCTCACGGGTTTTCACATATTGACACGATTGATTGATAGATGAAAGCACAACAATACCGTTGAAATTATTCATAGTTGTTGTTATTTTACAAAGCATAATGTTCTGAAATACAGTTGCGTTTTTAAGAAGCTATTAGTGCAATAAAACGTTTACTCATTAGTTCAGCGGTTTTTTTTAAATTTTGTACACACTTTGTAAAACTACAGCGAATCAGAATCACTAACAAAAGCCCAAAACGATAAAATTAAACATGTTACAGTGTCTATAAGAAAACAAAAATTGTTATTGAAACTTAATAAGGTTTTAAGGGCCGTGAATTATATTCGAATATTCGAAATACTACCGAATATTCGAACATTGAAAAACAAATACGAATATTCGAAAAAAAGAGAAATGTTTTATTTTTTTGTCATTACTTTCAAATATCAATTACAATCATAAAGTTAACCATTGACACTTTACTTGACCAGGTATTCATATGTTTGTGTGACGCATGTCAACGATTATCGCCCATCAACTGAGAAAACTTCAGGGTCTAGTTGATCAAAAGCGCACCCGTTTCACAGTTTGCAATTTACCTGTTGAACAGTTTTATTTTATGCTCGTCAATGGATTACAGATTTGTCCGTGAAAAGTAAATTTGATAATTTCACAGTGAAAATCATCAAAATAATTTTACACTTTTCCATAACAAAACTACTTTTTAAGATTTTCCCCATGTGGTACCTCAATTGTATTTTTGCTGACGATTCCGACAATTTCAGGCTTTTTAGAGAAAAGAAAAGCTGAAATTGATAAATAACATAAATGTCAAAAGTAATAAAATGAAGAAAACTTACTTCTATTCATTCAAATGACCATCACCAAAAATCGTCTCTTATTTCTTTTGTTTCATTTTTTACAGTCTGAAAAATACATCCCTTCCACATGCAAAACAACTCTGATGACATTTGGGCATACTTAAGTATCCTACGAGCAATAACTGCCTTATGCTTTATAAAAACTTGAAAAGCAATGACAGCCACCAGCCCGAAGAATAAATAAACAACCCAGCGTACATTAGACAGCCTTCCAAGTTCTCAAATTTATAAGCCGCTTTTTGCATGCTTACACATCTGTCAACACTTATTTATTGTCTGTTACAATCTTCAAATAAGTTTTCTCTCTTTTAAAAAGGTGTATGCCAAACAAATCTAAATGAAATCCCTCTGAGTCAAACACAATTATTTTCCTCCAGTGAAATACACAACTTTTAAAAATGGCGGCCGCTTAAATTTTACAGAGTCAGGTCTAATATTAATTCGCAGTAAGTAACAGAAATATGGATGGATGGTTTGACTTTTTATCCTTCTAGATTCTTTTTATTAAAACAAGCGATTATTCATATTTTTTTAATAAAATGAATAATATCACCGCCATTTAACGTTGATTGGCGGACTTATTTTCGACCCAAGACTTTCTTGTATGAAATGAGAATTCGACCAAATGAGGCTCTCAAAGGGGAAAACAGATTTTTATATTAACGTCAATATTAAGGAAATTTCGTTTTAAGTCGTTTTTAAGTTTAGAATAAAAAATAAAAAGAAAATATGTTTGTTTGTTGTCTAAGATGTAATCGTGTGTCATCTCGTGAACTTTAAAAACAGTATTCTCACTCGTGGCTACTTTTTTTAAACCCACTCAATGAAATAAAATTTCATCTTACACTAAAAAAACAGATATCCTCTATATAATGTAAATTTTCCGATTTTAATTATCTTTTTATTTTTTTGTGCTATAATTTTCCCGATTAATCAATAATTGTCTTAAATTTGGTGAAGAAGAATTAATCGGCTGCATTTATCGACGAGTTATGAAATCATTGGAAGTGTTTTAATTCTGTCACAATATATTTATTCTGTAAAAATTAGACTCCGTCTGATATTTACTGCGTTTTAACTGATTTACCTTAAGAATATTTTAAATTTTATCAAAAATTATGAATAAATATTTCTTTTTTATACAAGTTAAGTTTCAATAGCAGACCTCTCCGCAGTGCTGAGGTTGATTGCTGGCGGCATCCATTTTTGCATATCAAATTGAGTTTAATGAATCTCAATTAAAGCCTTAATTCATTGGAACCAGTCTAGAAACATTGTTATGCGCATGCTTCACATCAAAATACGAATTTACTGAAACGAAAAATTAAGACCGACTGTAGTAAATTGTTTATTGTTTTGTGAACAGCAAATTCAAAAATAAGTGAGAGTAAACATTTATAATAGCTACAATACTGCAAAATTTGGAAAGGAGTATTGTTTTTAGGATAGTATATCAGGCCAGCATTGCGCAACAAGAGGTCGCAAACTTAAAGTACACTTTTTAGAATAAATATTAGATTTTATGACTGAAAATCCTTACTGCTTTGTCTATAATAATACAGGTTGAAAATTAATGTTGAGCATTATAAAGGGGATTTTCTCAGTTTAATTTTCTGCTGTTGACAAGTTTAAAGAATACTTAATCAAAAGTAACTGTATCAATCTTGTATACCATTAAAAGTACCAATATATAAATGTTTTGCAAGTTTATGCTTCACTAAGTTGCACTGTTTTATGCAAAATTGAAATGACTTCTTTAGCGACGAAAGACATTCCGTAAGCTAGCTGGATAGCTTCTTCACATGAAAGAATCCAAAGTCCCTGTCGGGATTCGAACCCACAGCGGTGAGGGGCAAGTGGTTTGAAGTCAACGACCTTAACAACTCGGCTAGAATACTGAAAAAAAAACAACCCCAAAGCATTGATAAGCTTCGGGCCCAATCCTTTTTTAACAATTAATCATTATTACTTTAGTATCTGTAGATCTATATATATTGCGATTATGTAAGGTGCAATGTTGAACAAATGTTATGCTATTTGTGCATATTTATGTATTTTTGTATTTATGTTTGTATTGCACAACAGTCTGTATATCTGAACTACTTGCGCGCCAATTTGAAATTTGTGAAGGCATTTAAGCACGCGCAGCATTCAGATCATGCAATGAACCGTGCAGACTGATTTCCGCGAGTGGGTCGCGCGCTAGTCCACTTTTGCACATTAATAACGCTAGCTGCATGTGCTTTTTGTTGGGGTTCTTTGAGTTTATTATAGTTGAAGAGTGGTTGTTGTTGTGTTGAGTTGTTGTAGTTTAAGTGTTAAATTTGCTTTTAGAATGTTGCTTGTATATAATTGTGATGCATAATTTTATTTTAATGGTTTCTATAATCATGCTTTCACTGGAATTAATCTGTACAAGCATATAGTTCTAAATGATAGTCATTTTCAGCGAACAGATTTATGTTAAAACAGTGTAAATTCGTAACAAAATAGCCAAGCACTATTTTATGACCTTATGAACCGTGTATGGAAATTTTGCTGAACACTTCGCCGATTATTCCTAATCTGAGAGACTGACGGAAATAGCCGATATATAATATGTTGCTTATGTTCGCGAATGCCATTCGACTAATCAGAAAATCCTACTTTCCTGTCACTTGAACAATTAAAAAAATCTTCAACAGCTGTAAAAAGATCTCTCGCATGCCTCTTTTTTTAAACTTGTGTGTTATTGGGACTAAGATGATTCATATCACTGTCAGTCAAGTCACGTGAGTAATTTCCCGTTAATAAGACAAATGATAAGCAGTCGGATTAACTGAACAAAAGACAATCAAACTATTAATTTATTTCAAAATGTCTATTTACAATATGTATAAAATAAAATCTATGACATAGCAATAAAGGTTTTTATACTCGTCGATTATTCCAAGCATAGTAAAGTTGTATAGTATTCGACGCAATCAATTTCGAAAACGAATACATAAAGGGAAATGTTGGAACAAATTTTGTCAAAACGAATATCCGAATATATTCGAATATAGACAACGAATATTCGAACATCAAATTTCTTATTCGTTCCCAGCCCTAATAAACTTATTCGAAATTGAATTGAATTCAAATGAGGCGAAGGTCATTTAAGTGCAGCAACATTCGTGATGTACTCTGTTTGGTCTTTAGAGAAATAATGAAAATAAAAAAAACGGAATATCAGAACTTATCGCCATTATGAGGACATATATTTTATAAACAGATTTCTTTGCTTTATACATTTTTTAAATAGAAGGTTGACTTGATAATTTAAATTATCGACATGATTTTTTACTAAAAAATTGATAGAAGTTTTACTTTTTAAATTCAAAAAGATTAAAGTTGGTCAAAATAATATTCAAGACATCGGTAGTACATCCTTAGGTATAATCAACAATAAGTGCCCTGAGGGATGCAGTAGCGATAAGCGAAACACGACATTTATAAGCTGTTCTGTGAAGAATGTATATAGTTTCATATTATCATATTTGTCCCGTTCGTACTTATAAAACCTAACGGATTAAATGGAATGTCATTAATTTTCAAAACAAGAAAATTCATGATATAAATGTTATAAATGATGATGATAATGCCGATCGTAAATATATAAACCACAACGATGAAAACGGCGAGCACGGTGGTGATAATAAATATGGTGATGCTTGTTTATGATTATAATGAAGCCGATACCGATGAAAATGACAAGGATGATGACGATTATCTATATGATTAGCATGCATTTAATAGATAAAAGATGTTTTCATGAAGGTTCTGTATTCTGTTTATAAAAAAAGTCTTAAATATATGCATGATATTAAAAATGTAATTAATCTATTTATAAAAAATGCAAGTAACTTGAATGACTTAAAAGACCAGTAGTTTTTGAGAATCATGTCAATGAAATGATAAAATGGTCTTTTATCACACGTATCATACAAAAAAATGTCGTGTTGAAATAGCGTTCAAGAATCTGATCAACCATTAAAACTTTATGCACAATTTTCATTGAATTCCAAATCTTTTTCAGTAGTATTTCTATTACAACGTTCACAGTATGTACCGTCGAGTTCGCCATCAACATTTGATGGCTTCCCAATTATGTCATGCAGTGAAGAAATATTAGCAAACTTTTGATAAACAAACGTTTTCATTAATAAGATTTCCACCTCGGTTATGTTGTACATTTCGCAAGCGGGATATGAATAGCTATGCGGATCGTGGTGGGGTATATATGATATCTTTGGCGACAAACGTCTCCTCCAATCAGCAGACATTTGCCTTCCACAACACAATCTTATGATATCCCAATACCGTAAATATTCCACTGCATGTTGCATTTGTGTATCTGAAAGTCTAAAAAATGGTTGATAATCAAAGACAATCGTATGACCACGTTTAGATGTAGTTTCTATGTCAACGATCCATGGTATCCTTATTCTCATATTTCTAATTCTTACTTTATGAGACTCCAGTTCTGTTTTCTTTTCATCAGAAAGTAGATTGCTAGATGTCATGAATATCCACACATCTAATGGAAGTATCTGAAAAAATGTGTCTTTTATAAAATGAGTTTTTATCACGCAATATTTGTGTGCAGGTTGTCTAGCGTAGTAGCATCCAACATCATTAATTTCGTCTTGATGTAATAAAGCCATAAGAACACATAGTATTTGAAATTGAAGTGTTGTAGCTGTTCCACCCAATCCAAACTGTATTATAGTAGTTGGAACTCTTTCCTCTGCTCTTTGAAAAGCCTATAGTTAAAGAGATGATGTATGATTCATTTAATATAATTCATGTTAAGGTGTTGAATGAAAGCGCTAACTGTTGCATATTACGTTTATATTATTGAGACTAAAAAATGTTATATTGAGAAATTACTTAATATTCAGTGCCGAGACGAAATGAACCTTTACTTCCAAGACAAAGTCAGAAGGAAAAATGTAAAAAGTATATTTAAATGTACAATCAATTCGTACCATTTAAATTTTACTTCTGGTAGTAACCGCTTGGCAAATATATTTTCCTTCATTGATAAGACGTCAAAGCTCGTAAACGTGTAAATTGCCAAAATAAATTAATTGCACAATGCAAAACCTCTAAAGCTCTTAAAATGAATTTAATTCTACGTGTACTTGTAGATAGAAAATACTTAAAAACTCATTAAAATATCAACAGAATTTGTTCCAATAATAGTCGTTGACGATGAATTCTCTTACTTCAGATGAAATTTTTTTCCACAATGATGCTACATATATTTTATAGCCACATCTTATCTATTTTAACTGAATAATTAAATGTGCAAATCTTTGAATACATACATATACACACACCTAGAAATGTGTGAAAGCACTTCCATTAACTTTCTGACATAAAAAGTTTAAGTATTTTTACAATTATGTTTAGCTGTAGTTTGGAATGGTATTCCGTATTTTAGCTTAGGTACACATAGGCAACACCGTTACACAAAGACGTAGGTACCAATTTAAAAATACCCGTGCTTTTGAGAATAGTTTTATGATAACATCACTTTACTTGTGCGTGTTATCAATATTTATACACCGACATCTCAACCGTAATTGTATTTAAACAGTTAAATTTATTTGTTTACTATTGGAAAACGTAAGAATGGTTAAATAGAGAAAATAAGGATCATTAAAGAGTCCCTAGTCGAAGCTTATCAGAACGTGAAAGGTGGCAGATAATTGGCATGCATTCGACAGGTTTTTTTTTTTTTTTTTTTGGTTATAGGCCGTTAGATTGACCGCAATTATTCTGTGATAAGCAGAAATATCAAAAAGCATATTGCAACGAATTATTGCAAGGACTTGCAAAGGTCCTCTAATAAGTACGGTTGGTCAGGCGACGGAAACCCTTTTCTACGAGTAATCGCCTTAAGCCTTTATGGCTGCCACATAATCGAATTTGACTAACAATTCAAAATCGGCTAGATCGAGCTCTCGAAGAGTGAAAAAGCGTCCATGGTTGTTACCTTAGAACCGACAAACTAGTTTGTATTGGTAGGTAGCGGAAAGAGGTTAGAATCATGGTATCTCGTCCACTGTTCTAACGGGAGCGGGTTTTTGCTACATCAACAGATGGAACAAATTGTCTTGCGACACAGGTACACTGCATATACCCCAAAGAATATCAAACCGAGCATTCCGTGTAGTGGAGGCTCTGTGATGGTGAGGAATTGCATATCCTATCATGTCGAAATGGACTTGGTGACAAAACAGAGGAGGCTCACATACCACGACAGTACATTGATAGGGTCCTTGATCCAGTCTTTGTGCCTCATTTCGACAACTGTTTTCATGAATGAGGACCCTGGAGCATGTTTTGGACGTTCTTAAACGTCAAATACAACAAATGGCCACACCTCCTCTGAATCTGAAACAATTAGAAGCAGCTCTTCATCGAGAGTGGTGTTAGATAGCCATGAAGCAAATTTGACGTCAAACGGGTGAATTGAGATTTAGGATGGAAGAAGTGATCCGTGTACATGTACGAGGAGAGCGATATCAAAATGTAATGGCATTTTATTAACAAAGACATGTTTATGAACAGTTATACAAATAAACTGTTACAGAAGTCGTGCAGACGGAAGCGGTAGCTCCAGACTAAATGAAACGTTTAATTTACGTTGAAAACAAACGTCCAGTTTATAATACATTAAAATATATATTTTTGTTATATTTGAATTAAAGCTGTCTTGGTAAGGGTACACACTTTAACAATTTTTGCTATACAACCGGGGCTGGAGTGCTTAATTTATTTCAAGTTGTTTATTTCAATATAATGGAACACAATACCACGTTAATGAGAAATTGCGTAACATATCCAATTGCCATGACAATAGAGAAGATGATCATTCTTTAAACTGTTTCCTTGTGTTTCCTTATTAAAAGGCAGGTGAATATCGATGTGTCCACGCCAATATTGCTTGCAAATGGTCATCAAAACATGTCCGCATTATGAATGCCATTCAGGTAAATGTTTTTCTGACATTGAGAGAGATCCCATCCTTAATGATAAACAAAGAAAGCCGATCTTTTTTGAGGATACCGATTATTAAATTCCGTATGTTAAAACTTGGTTTCTGACAAGCTCGTCGTGTTTATCATGTAGAAATTGAACCTTATTCTCCACAAACCTTAGGGTGATTTGCTATATATGTCACAAAGTTATGTTTATGATTTAATTAAAGGTCATTGCTTTTATGTTGAACACAGTTACAATACTGATTTCCGTACGTATATTATACTTTTATTTTACATTAAAAAAGTATAGTTTATTTGCAAAAAAAGTTATGCTACACAGGAATATTGTTTCCAAAGTAATATATTGTCTTCAATTAAAGATTATTGTTACTATTTTAATTGCCAATAAGCAACAGAAGCAAAGGAAGCAAATGCTTTTTTAGCTTATGTCATATAAGCATCTTATTTAGAACTATAACAAAACATCATATAGTTTAATGTTTTTTGTTGTTTTCTTTTAAAATAAGAAAGAAAAACATGTTTGGAGTATGAGTGACCTTCTAAGTGTAAAGTTTTAACTTTGCATATACATTTATTAAAATAACTTATATCTAAAACAAAACAACATGCATGAATTTAAAGCAAAAGTTTTACTCTAAAATAACAATAGCACATAAAAGAAAATTTAAAACATTCTTACCGTTCGATGATAACGAGTTGTTAATGCAAGGAATATAATAATACAAACTTGCGAAAGTAATAACAAAGTCGATTTCCCGTAAATGTTAACCATTTTTTATACCTGAAATTTCCGAATTATGTGTTATCATTTCGAGTCGAACAAATTTTAAAATATTTTGGTCAAATTAAAGTAACAGGTTTTTATTTGCCAGTTATGATGGCCTAACGATTTATAGTTAGTATAGCCGTCTTTTCGAATTTGTGTTATTTATTATTGAAAACCAGCTTTCAAGATGTCGGAATTGATTCATACAACAGTGTTTAAAAAGTACAACTTATCACTGCATATGGTAAAACTTCTATACACATTTAAACTTTTGGTTAGTTCTGGTCAATTTCGATGGTATCATGAACAATACCTTATCACAAAAATAAACAAAATACTTTATTGTGAACATATATATATTATATTTGGGTAACAATACACATTTTTACAGAACAATTGAAGTTGATTTGCTTGTAAACAGTGGTATACAGAATCTTAATGTTTAATCAGTGCAACAATTTATTAAGCATCTGTATACAATGCCATGCAAAACAGATTTAAGCAGTAGTAAAAGTAACAGTGAATTTCGTTTATGCTATTTTTCCCATTCTAAATTTTTATTTAATGCTAATTTAAATAAAACATTGCTTTTTCAATATTATTTTTCTTTGAAAACAAAAATGTTTTATACTGATCTGTAAAACTTGTCTATGCACGGATGTATATAGATTTTGGTACCTAGACAATGAAACCTTTAGATATGATGAAAATAAACAGTTTAGCCATACTGTTTTAGCTTTGCTTTATTAGAATTATGTGAAATTAATGATGATTTGAAAGCATGCAAGATAGTTTTGATATTGAAAAAAAAACAATCATTTGTCATAATTTAAATAAGTGTATCAATGCTTCAAGATTTGTATTTGCGAGATACTACCACCAACATAATTTGATTTTCGTTGAATCATAATTTGAATTCAACTTTTACAATGATTTCTATTATTCGGAAGATTAAAAATGTCACAATCAATAGTTTTGGTACTGTGGACGTTGAAAAAAGAAAATTTGTCCTACTTTTGTCCTTGTTTGTAAAAAAGGTTTTTTAAATATTTGTTTAACTTGAAGGAAATATTGTAATAACAAAGATATGTATAATTGGACAAAGAGAAAGGTAAGTGTAGAAGATATAATTACATGCGCTCCAGAACTGACGGGAAGATTACACAAAAAAGTGGGTGAAAGTATTGTCGGGCTGTCCAATCTTTGTTGTTATTTCCGATGTCTAAAAATGTGTAGTATGTTTTTTTAAAAAAAAAATAATTATCATATAACTAGCGTGGACTTTACGATCATATATACAATGTACATGAATGCACATAGTGGTGTGAAGCCTTATAGACATATTTCGAACACGTGGCAGAAGAATTAGTCTAGTTTGTAAGTTTGCAGACATTGTGGTGGTTATTATATGATTGCATATAGTAAAAAAAACTTTTTCCGAGAGTGTTTGTGAGCTGTCAAGATTGAATTTCTTGAGGAAAAAAGTAAAATTTTGAACATTAAGCGCAGACGGTGTAAAGGTAACTTATTACCGTCAATGGGAACGATTATTCGGATAGACAATATGTCTATGAGGAAATCTCTTCTCAGACTCTAAAAGCAAAGCAGAAATATTACTAGATCAATTTAAATCAGTATTCACCAAAGACACCAGTAATTATCTACCTGAGATGAAAGACAAAAACAAATACCCTACTATAAGTAAACTTACCATTAAACCAGATGGTGTGTTGAAACAACTTAAAGACATTAACATTAATAAAGCAAAGGGCCCAGACATCCTACCAAATATTATTCTCAAAAACTGTGCAAATGAACTAGCGAATGGCCTTAGTTGCATTTTCCATCTCTCTATTGACACGGGTGAACTCCTCAGGGATTGGAGGTATGCAAACGTAACCCCAGTTTTCAAGAAAGGCGACAGACACTCAGCTGAAAACTATAGACCGGTGAGTCTTACATCAGTTCCAAGTAAGATCTTAGAACACATCAGATGCAGCCACTTACTTAAACACCTGGAAAAACATCGTATATGAACGTCACTTAACCACTGTTTTCGCTCCGGTTTTTCAAAAGAAACATAACTACTAGTAACTATGCATGACCTACTTTCATCTTTCAAAAGAAAACAGCAAGTATACGTCGCCATTCTGGACTTCTCCAAGGCATTTGATACCGTCCCCCACGATCGTCTGCTTTGGAAAATAGAGAACTATGGAATAAAAGGAGAACTGCTGACATGGCTGTCGTCCATTTTGAAAGAAAGAACAATGAATATAGTAGTCGAGGGAGAACATTCCAAGAGCACCCATGTTGAATCGGGCGTGCCCCAAGGTACCGTACAAGGGCCACTGATGTTCCTTTGCCATATAAATGACTTGCCATTAAGCGTTAAATCACAAGTCAGACTTTTCGCAGACGACTGCCTCCTCTATAGAGAAATTATAAACCATAAAGATCACATAACTTTACAAAAAGACCTTAAAAAGTCTTAAGAACTGGGCGTCAGAGTGGGGAATGAGGTTCAACGCTGGTAAATGCTATATACTGAGCATCAAAAACAAGACATCACACTTCTATGAACTCAATAATATTATCTTAAAACACGTGGACTCAAATCCTTATCTCGGTGTACTTATCTCCATCGATCTGACATGGACCAAACATATTACAAATATATGTAAAAAAGCAAGTTAAACCTTGGGCTTTCTTAGAAGAAATTTGAAACATTGCCCTCTAGATTGTACAAAAACAGCCTTTATAGCCTTTGTACGTTCGAAAATAGAATACGCTTCAATTATCTGGGACCCGTTCTTGAAAAAAGATATTGATAAACTGGAAATATACAAAGACTAGGAGCAAGATTCATTATGAACGACTACAAGTCCAGAAAACCAGGATTTGTTACAGATATGCTGACCAGCTTGAAACTCGACTCACTACAAGACCGTAGGACCTACAACCGCCTTGTAATGCTCTACAAGATAGCAGGGGGTATGGTGCCAGCATTGGACCCTGATAAATACCTGACTCAGAAAGTGGAAGGACGCTTAATTAAACAAAGAGATTCAGTGACTGTGAAACCAAAAACAATATAAGAGTAGCCAATAACACTAGATCATTTAAAACCATAAACGCACAATCAAATCAATTTAAAAACTCCTTCTTTGTGAAAACACTTGAGGACTGGAACCATCTTGAAGATTAAGTGGTGCATGCAGTTACAATAGGGGGCTTCAAATCAGCCCTCAAGAAACTCGACTAGAGCTCCTCCACTTCCCGTAGTACATATACCAGAAGTGGTCTTCCTACGTATTTACACAGATACAGATACAGAATATTTTCGATACAGTTAATATTTGAACAAAGTTTGGACACTTTTCCCGATATTTTTTATATTGATATTAGATAACAAAGGATGTTGGATCTGGAAGGAGCAAAAGACTATGTTTCTAATATTCTTCCATCAACTCAGCCAGTACAGTTCGTGCTCAAAGTGAACGAAAGGAAACTTTTTAGAGACTAATATTGATTGTTTAGATTCAGGTATGCGTAGCAATATGATATCCGCAAAGAAGACTAAATCAGATGATGATCATGTGTCAGACATAGTCATGGTTAATGCACGGATAGTTTTATATGCGAATACACCTGAAAAATTATAGCTAATGAAGGGAAACGCTCAGTTCAAGTAATGATCAGTGGATGAAAGTGGATGATATTTTGAATGACATCAAAAAGGTAAACCGTGATCTGTCTGATAGAATCGATAAGCTAGAAATTGAACTTGAAAAAAGACAGACCGAACAACTGTCTCATAAGATTTGTCAGCAAGTTGATAAGAGAATAAGTGCAGAAATAAAACGAGTGAATTAACCTGCTGATGAAAGTTTTTATGCTGTTCGTGCTGATGTGAATAATGATATGGATGAAATCCAGGTTAAGCTCATATCAATCAGTGATACTGTTAGAGCTTTCAAAGCTACTGAAGATATTTCCAATAAAATTATACTAAGAAAGTTACCAGAGACTAGTAATGAACATGCTGTGAATAAAGTCCAGACTTTGATATATGACATATTGAAAGTATCTAATATTGAAGTTGTGTCTGCAAGAACGATAGCTCCAAATATCCTGGTGTAGTTGTTGCAACTCTTCAAAACAGTGAAGCACGAGACCGAGTGCTAAAAGATAAGTCAGCACTCCGTAACACTCCTTTCAAAGACATATATATAGATCGTACCAGAGAGGAGAGGCTTGTTACACAGAACCTTCGTATTCTGGTTGATGCAATGATACGCTCCCTTCGCAGCTCACTGAATAGACTCACGTTACTTCAGACTGCTGCTTTAAAACGCGTCGATTCATAATATTGACCTTTACAGTGAACTTTGAACGACCAATGAAAGTTTTCCAAAATCCAAATCGCTCGAAAATCTTTATACGCATTTTCATTGGTTGAAACAGATGACGTGTGTACAAATTATAATTAGACGAGTAATTCCTCAAAATTTTGTAAACAAAATGGCGACTGTTAACTTCGATAAGCTTGCAAAACGTTTCAAATATGGAACCGTTTCAAAAGGCAGTGGTACAATCTATCATTGAGCAGAACAATGACACTTTTGTGTGTGCAAAGACATGATGGGAAAGTCTCTGTGTTTCAAGGGTTAACATATTTATATAGTGAACTTGGTGTTAAAGAAAACCCAATTGTTTTGATACAGTATTTTGCTGATGGAGACACACGTTTTGGAATAAGACAGATTTCTGCCAATTACATAGATAAGGATTCCAGCGAAAATGGTGATATCCGTAGAGGAAAATATCTGTATTCTGTTTGACGTAGTACACAGTGTCATGATATGTTTTTCATTGTTCTTTTCACTTTTGACTAGTAAGAAACATGCTTTTCATTAAATTCTATATACCATAATTTGATTTCAAATTTTAATTATATGTACAAAGGGTGTGAAGCTAAGATATATTTTTGGAAATTGCAAGGCTAGCCGTACGGCTAGACAAAACAGTGTGCTAGTAATATATGACCTGTAATTGTGAACTTTTTTGATGATCAAGTGGGAGATTTTTCTTCAAAAAGAGGGAGATTTTAAATTTTTTAAGAAACAAAGAAGGACGTTCTGACATCAAATATTGGGGGATTTCTTTAATTTGTCAAAATACCCCTTATTTTAAGAAAAATCTTTAA